TCAGATGGGTCAAGCTCTTCGTCCACTGCTTTGAGTGCATCCAATGCATCTACGGCGAATTGGCATCTTAGGCTCGGACGTCCTCATCACCAAGTCCTGCAGCACATTTCCAATTACAATCCCTCTTTACGCATTTTACCGCTTAAATCTGTTTGTAATTCCTGTATGTCTTGTAAAGGTCAAAAACTTGTATTTGATAGCTCGGTAAGCCGAACGAGTTCACCTCTAGAACTCGTTCACTCCGATGTCTGGGGCCCCTCTCCGATTCAGTCTCATCAAGGCTTTAGCTACTACGTTATATTCGTTGATGACTTTTCTCGCTTTACTTGGTTATTTCCTATCCTGCATAAATCTGATGTCACTAACACGTTTATCTCTTTTACTAAGTTTATTGAACGTCAAACCTCGCTTAAACTCAAAACGATTAGAACCGATGGCGGTGGTGAATTCGTCAATAACGCTTTTCAAAGTTTCACTAAAATTGCAGGGATTAGACATCAATACTCTTGTGCCTATACCCCACAACAAAACGGCGTGGCGGAAAGAAAGCACCGCCACATTATTTCTACCACCCGCACACTTCTTCACACGGCTGCTCTTCCCATGACGTTTTGGCTTGAAGCCGCTCAAACGGCTGTCTACTTAATCAATCGCATGCTGTCCCTGACCACAAAGAATCTGACTCCGCTCACACGAATGTTCAACATTCAACCATCATACGAGCATCTTCGCGTGTTTGGTTGTCAGTGCTATCCTCTTATACCGACAGTACATCGCAACAAGCTTATGCCAACCTCCCAACCCTGCGTATTCCTGGGTTACTTAGAAGTTTCAAAGGGCTATAGATGCCTTAACCTGAAAAATAATAAAATTTTAGTCTCTAGAAATGTTAAATTTAATGAATTCTCTTTTCCTTTTCATGACCGCAGCTCTACATCTACTTCAGCCGAATCTCCACCTCCTGCCTCTCTGCTTATACCACCCTCGGTGTTGCCTAGAACGTGCCAGACGGTCCCCACTGTTGATGTTGCCTCGACGGATTCCAGTCACTCTCCTCATCATCCAGCAATTATACCTCCATCTCCTATATCTCAAGCTATGACCATACCACCTGATATCCCTATCACATACCACCAAATGACTACCAGATCTATGACTGGTTCTCTCAAACCGGTTCAGCATCTCAACCTTCTTCATCAAGATCAAGCTACAAGTGATCCGACCACGTACAATGAGGCCTCCAAACACTTTCACTGGCGTCAAGCAATGGCTCAAGAGTTCTTTGCTCTCCAACAACAGGGCACTTGGACCTTGGTTTCACCTCCGCCTAATGCTCCTATTCTTGGCTCCAAATGGACGTACCGCACTAAATATAACTCGGATGGCTCAGTGGCCAGATTCAAAGCACGATTGGTCGCGCAAGGGAATTAGCAGGAGCTCGACATTAACTATCATGACACTTTTAGTCCTGTGGCAAAACTTCCCACTATACGAATTCTCTTTACCGTCGCTCTCTTTCACAACTGGCAAGTTCAACAACTTGATGTCGCCAATGCTTTCTTGCATGGAGACATCACAGAAACCATCTTCATGCAGCAGCCGAAGGGCTTTGAAGATGCCACAAATCCGTCCCATGTATGCCGCCTACAAAAAGCAATCTATGGGTTGCGTCAAGTTCCGCGACAATGGTTCACTACCTTTACCAACTATCTTCGTCAAATCAGGTTTTCGCATAGTCAATCCGATCCTTCTCTCCTCACATTTCATGACGGCATCACACATATCTATCTACTAGTATATGTAGATGACATCCTTCTTACGGGGAACAACGTCCAAGCCATGACAGCCCTCGTTGCCAAGCTTACGGAAAAATTCACCATGAAGCAACTCGGAGCGGCAAACCACTTTCTCGGCATCAAAATTGATCACACGCCTGATAAGTATTTTCTATCTCAAAGTTCATATGCCCAATCTATAATACAAATGGCCGGATTACCAAAATGTAATCCGGTCGCTAACCCGTCTATCACCAAAATTACAGCTTTAAAACCAGAGGATCCCCCACTCTTCGATGCTCTCACCTACAGACGTATCATCGGAAGTCTCCAGTATCTCACATTGACGAGACCGGATATTGCCTATGCTGTCAATGTGCTCTCCCAGCATATGCACAGTCCTGAGCCCATTCACACGGTCATGCTAAAGAAACTCCTCCGCTACATTCAGGGATCTCTGGATTTTGGATTACCAATTACAAAATCCAATCTCTTACTTCGTACCTACTCCGATGCGGACTGGGCTTCCGATCCATCCACCCGCCGATCCACATCTGGGTTTTGCACCTTTCTTGGCGACACATTGATCTCGTGGTCTGTCAAGAAACAAAATACGGTATCGCGTTCATCTACCGAATCGGAATACAGGGCATTAGCTTCCACTACAGCTGACACCATATGGATTAAACGCCTCCTCACTGATTTTCGAGTCCCTCAAGCAGCACCGGTGGATATCTTTTGCGATAATACTTCTACAATTGCTCTTGCCAACAACCCTGTTTTCCACGCTCACACCAAGCACATCGAGATTGATCAACGCTTTATACGCGATCACATTTTAAACAAAGTCATCCGTCTTCTTCCTATCAGTACAGTTGATCAAATTGCCGACATCCTAACCAAACCACTCTCTACACCTCGGTTCAAGATTCTTCGCAGCAAACTGACTATCTCATCCTACACCCAGTTTGAGGGGGGATGTTACGAGCAGATATCTACATTAATTACCATTAACCATTAGGATCAATTAGATTCTTACACGTGTACGTGTATTCATACTCAGCTCTATATATATGTACTGTCATATTGTAAAGTATTAAGAAAATCAATAATATTCAGATTACTTTGTTCTTTAGTTTTACTGTCTCTGTTCATAACTTTCTACATACCCGACCCAATACGAAACAGGTTATGATCGAGGAAGTGCACGAATGGGAGGAAGGCAACTCTTCTCGTCGAAGCCATAGGATTGGACATGAAGGAACGTCGTTGAAGCCAGAGAAGAGAAGCAAAACTTATTGTAAAGCTGATGAAGAGGAAGGAACGCCATCGACGTGCAGACTACAGAATGCAGAGCTAGCGGCCGAACATCTAGCCTAAGGTTTAGCCTAAGAAGGAATGTTGTCGACCCCTCGACGAGATGTCGGGAGAAGTGGATGGCGAGACCTTCAAGCAGGGTTGACTTGAGAGCCACGAGTGTGGGCGGGATTCGAATCAAGATTTCCGATTTTGTGTATAACTAAAATTTTCGAGCCTGATCGGGTCATTCTCGGGTGTCCGAGTCTACCCGAATTCGACCCTATTTTTAAAAGTGCCGGTTTGTTAAACTCACTAGACCTGATTGACAAACGGGTTGATTCTAACCCGAAAATTTCGAAATAGATTTTCCAGTTGTGTCAAATATTGACACCCTTGATCATATTAAATGATCTGACATGACATAAAACTATAATACCATAGAAACTAAAGATTTTAGATTTTATTTAAGTCTAAAATGTATATCTACTTAGGTAGATAATTTTTTTATTATTTTTTAAAGCAGCTTTCTAACTTTGATTGATCACCCAAACTTCATATATTACATCCATATTTCTTAAGAGTTCATTTTTTTTTTAGTGGTTTGTTTTTAACTCTGATAGATCAATATTTGAGAATCAATTGCACGATGCTATCCTAACAAAATGTGATTTTTTAGACTTTTAGCCCCTAAAATTTTGGTGAAAATTATTAGAGTTTTATCGATAAAATTTTGATTGGTGCTTAGAATAACGGATATTAGCAAAACATTTTTAGATTCTCCTTCTATTGTTCTTATCTTACTTGAATAAAAAAAAATAATTTTGGGCAAAACTGTAAATTGAATTTACCTTGGCGCCAAAAGCGAGAAGAAAATAAAATAACTAATATAAATTTAATATTCAAATATTTAATTGTCTTTGCTAACAAAACTTTGGACTCTGAAATTAAAATATAATAAATTTTCATAGAAACAGGGATGGCGCCATTTCATTCGACAGACTCGGCCCGGGTTTCAGCGGGGCCAACCAAACCGTCCGCTCGCGCGGATTCGGTTCACTTCCGTTGGCCGGTTCACCTGTTTGTTGGTTGGCGCCATTGAGAAAACAAGCTACTAATTGAAAGCTCTTCAGAACTTTCTTTAAAATATTATAAGAAATTTATAATATATATATGTTGTTATAAAAATTTTAAAATTATTTATCTAAATATTCGGAGAAGGTTGGTATACACTATACGAACAATTATTACGTCCTCTGGCCGGACGTAGAGTTACGTTCGGCCGCCAATAATATGTCGCCACATGCTCTTACTCTTTACCACGCGGCCCGACGACTTGACACAGACCGGACCCGGTAATGCTATGTTCGCGTATTGCTAGGTATTACTCGGTATTTGCTCGGTATTTGTACTGAGTTTTTCTAGAAAAACTCTGTACAACTCGGTATTACTCGGCATTTGCTCGGTATTGGTTATTTCCGAGCAAAATCGATAAATACATAGCAATACCGAGCAATACCTAGCAAAATCGAGAAATACCGAGCCATCCTGGGTCCATTCCGGGTTGGGTTGTTGGGGCGCATGGTAAATATTGAGAATGCGTGGTGCGATTCTACTGGCGGCTGAACGTAGAGCCACGTCCTGTGACCGGACCAAATAAAAGTTCACACTCGAGGATTAGGTCGTACTGTGTATCTTTTCTTGGATTTTTTCCATGAAATTTAAATGCATTGCAACATTAAGAAATTTACTTTCTTCGGAAAATTTGCATCATAAAATGAGTAAACGAGAGAGTTCTTGGTGGGTACAAATGCACGAATAAAAGCTGGAATTTTGTGCTTGCAATAACATCAAACAAGCAAAAAAGAATATTTACTCTTCGTAATAGCAACAATAACCAAACGTTAATTAATCACGCAGACATGCAGTTCAGTAGTAAGGAATCACGGGCGGCGGCGGCGACGCATAGGACACTCCGACGACGGGCGGCAGAGGAGGATTCACCCCGCCTTCGCAGTTATCCGGCGGAGGCGGAGGTGAAGATGTAATTAGAGGCGGTAGAGGTGGCGGCTGGTGGTGTTCCTGAGGTGGTGGAGAGTGGAGTACTGGCTTTTTGGGCGGAGGCGGCGACTGATATATGGGTTGTTCCGTTGGAGGTGGTGTGTTGTGGATCGGTTGCTCTGATGGAGGCGGAGAGTGATGGCCCGGGTGCTCCACTGGGGGTGGTGAATGGTATTGTTCAGATGGAGGTGGCGAATGGTATTGTTCAGATGGAGGTGGCGAATGGTAGGCCGGTTGCTCTGCCGGAGGTGGCGAGTTGTGGACCGGTTGTTCCGATGGAGGTGACACTGCCCGAGGTGGGGAGTTGCGGACGGGTTGCGATGGAGATGGCGACTTGTAGAACGGAGGTGGTGAGTGGTAGACAGGTTGCTCGACCGGAGGGGGCGAATTCACAGGTTGCACCAATGGAGGTGGTGAGTGATACAATGGTTGCTCGGGCGGAGGTGGCGAGGGATAAACCGGATGCTCCAATGGGGGTGGAGAGTGGTGGGCCGGTGTCTCCGATGGAGGCGGCGAGTAATAACCTGGATGTTCCACAGGAGGCGGTGAGCTGTGCACTGGTTGCCCCGCCGGAGGGGGCGTATTGTGGATAGGATGCTCCGTTGGAGGTGGCGACTCGCAGCCCGGTTGGCCCGAAGGGGGCGGCGAGTTGTAGACTGGAGGCGGCGAAGAAAGCCCTGGGTTGTGGACTGGAGGTGGCGAGTTATGTATCGGTTCTGCTGGTGGAGGCGAATGGTGAATCGGTTTCACAGTATGAGGCGGGGAAGGGTAGACAGGATTCTCCGCCGTCGGTGGCGAAACAGGTTGCTTAGCTGGAGGCAAATGGTAGACAGGCGGAGACGAAGTTTTAGGTGGCGGTGCAGAGGAATGTGGCGGTTCCGCAGGTTCATTGCCAGCAGACGATGCTGGCGGCGGTGGCGGTGGAACCGGAGAGTGCTGAGAGCCGTGTCCGGTAGCAGGAGGCGGATGAGATTTAGTCGACGGAGATGACTCCGACGATGGCGGCGGAGGGGAAGAGAACTGCCCTATGTGTCCCCCAGTAACAGGCGCCGGTGGCGGTGGCGATCTTCTTCCGCTACCCTTAACACCCTGCTTCGGTGGTGGCGGCGTGTTCAAACTCGGCCTCCCACCCGGGTGAGCCGGCGCTGGGAGCGGGAACTCTCTTGCGCCACACTTTGCCTTCGAACAATCAAACGGCAGCGTAGTAGCCGCCGTGCACTGACTCGGTGGCCGTTGGCTCGGAATTCCAACAATGCAGTTTTCACTCCCATCCACAACCACCCCTCTCCTCCCAACACATTCCGGGGCCTCGCCGGAGAAGAAATTATAAGAAAAGGTGAAATTTTGCAGCTTCGGCAGCGTACAAACGGCACCGGGAACAAATCCCGTAAGCTGATTTCTCCCCACATCAAGCTGCTCTACACTTGTCAACCCCGCAAAAGTCAGTGGAATCGGCCCCTGCAGCCTATTAAAGCTCACATCAAAGACAGTAAGTTTCTTCAACCTCCCAACCTCCGGCGGAATACACCCAGATAAATTATCATTAAGAAGAATAATCTCATTAAGGCTTCTCTCCATCCTTCCAATACTTGACGGAATGCACCCGCCAAGATCATTGTTTGCAAGCACAACAACAGAAACAGGGGAATTCCCCAAATTCCCCGGAATTCCACCACGGAGGCGGTTAGAGTTAAGGAAAATGGCATCAAGCGGGCGGTCGAAGAGCGCCGGCGGTATATTCCCTTCAAACTCATTGAACCGGAGGTCGAGGAATCGAAGCGACGGTAGCTTGAGGACAACGGCAGGGAACTTGCCGACGAATCGGTTGTTGCTGAGGTCGAGCTCGTAGAGGAGACTGAGGTTGCTAAATGTGGAAGGGACGACGCCGCAGAAGCGGTTGGAGTTGAGGTGGAAGACGGCGAGGTCAGACAGGAGCCCGAGTTCAGGGGGCAGGAATCCAGCGATGTCGGCACCATTGAGGTCGATGGCTGCGACGACGGTAAGGGAGGGTTGAAAGGGGAGAGGGGCGCAGAAGACGCCGGAGTAGGAGCAGACGTTGGGGCCCACCCATGAGGCGGTAAAGTTTTGGGGGTCGGAGAAGATGGCTGTGGTTTTCCAAGTTTGGAGGGCGATATACGCCGCTCGGAGGCGAGGGTTAGGGAATCGGAATTGGTCGGGATTGGCGGCGTCGCTTTGGCTAAGTGCGGCAATGGATATCGCCGGAGATAATACGAGGAGGAAAAGGAAGAAGGGAAGAGACATTCCGGCGAGAGAGAAACAGGCTGCGACGGCGAGGTTTCGGTCACATGGAAGGTGACGGAGGGGAAAGAGGTGTTTGGGGAAGTGGTGCTTCGGGGAGGCATGGCTTGGATTTATACATTGTATTTAAAATGAAGAGGGCAATTTTGGAATTATTTGTTTATTTAAATATTTGGATTTGGCTTAACATGATTTGATTTATTTTTATTTTATATTTATTTTAAATGTTACATATGATTTATTTTTGGATTTTTTTTTTTTAAATGGGAAGAAACTTGGTGAAATAATGGAGTTGTGGCCGTGAGATGATATCTAGAATTATGAAAGAGAATACGGTGAAATAATGAATGCAACCAAAGAGAGAGATATAGGTTGCGTACTTGCGTGAATATAGATGAATTTTTTATTATCTAAATTAGGAGAAATTATGATCGGATGCAGAATGTTATTCGGAGACTAATTAGAATGCGTCACGTTAGTTGTACCGAGCCGTGATACCAAACAGTACCGAGTGAAGAGTGACGTGACACATTCTGACTGATCTCCAGATGGCTTTCGATGCCCGCACAGAATAATTAATCCTAAACTAGAGGTACAAATTGATAGAAAGCTTAGAAATTTTTATCACAAAGAAAAAAGAAACACCTCTTCTGAAGCTTCTCTTAAATGGAGTAGAATAAAATAACTCCCCTCTTCTTCTTCTTCTTTTTCTTCCTTCTCCAATATTAATGATGATTATGCTTCTTCTTCTTTTTGTTGTTCATCCTTCTATTTTTATAAAGTCTAAAAAATTTGAGTAAGATATGTCTTTGATATGATGACGGGCTTGTCAATATCTATTGTCGTCACTATCAAGTGGAATAGCATTAGCGACTGAGAGAAATGAATCGGATGGGCCCCTGGAAGCTTGTCGTTGTTGGTTGTGACTCAGTCCTGGACTCCTTATTGAGATGCAACATTGTTGAATATCTTCAGAGTGTAGTCAGAGGGATGGACTATTGTGATGTGTAAGATCGTTATGTGGTTGCCTTATTTTAGTTGAGAATGAGCTAGGTCGCTCAGTTTTAGGTGAGAAGGGGGAGTGATGTTCTAACAACACCTTTAGATTGATCTGGTCGCGAGAGAAATCTTGTTAGAGTGGTGTGTATAAACATCTATTTGATGTAACATTGCATAGGAAGCTTGGTTTGTTTGAGAAGAACGAGATTGGTTTGTTTGAGAGATCTCCCTCACATAAGGGAAACTATCTGGAAGAGGTGGCCAGTGCTTGTAATAGCTCAAATTCTTATCTATCTAGATATTATTCACTTTGTCCTAAGGGCTCACGATTTTATCTTGTTGGTGTAACTTCTCAGGAGATCACCTATCCTAAAAATTTCTCCAAGATGAGCATACTGAATTGTGATTTTTTTTAATGAAATTATAATAATTACACTAAAAGATGACTCAATGTTTAAGAGTTTAACCTTTTTTACTTAAGGGGTTTCACAATCTTTACCACTTAAGTAGTTGACGTTCTTGTTAGAAATTTTATCCTAAAAACATCCATCTGGTATTAAGATTCTAGAGATGGACTCTACAAATTCAAGTGGTGACTCCCACCACGTAGCACTTTATCTCATACAAGGTTCAAGAGGTGGTTCCTATGTCCTAGCACTTTATCCCATACAATATTTAAGAGGTTGCTCCTATGGCATAATAATTTGTCTTGTATGACACTTACTTACCACCTTCTATTTGGTGTATCACTCTGATACCATTTGTAATAATCCAAACTCTTATCTATCAATATATTCTACATTTTTGCCTAAGGACCTTACAATATTATCATGCTGGTGTAACTTCATAGGAGATCACCCATCCCAATATTTCTTTAGGATGAGCACGCTTAACTGTGAAGTTTTTTCATGAAATTTGAATTATTACACTAAAAGACTCAGTGTTTAAGAGTAGCTTCTTCACTTAAGGAGTTTTATAATGTTGATATGATGTGCTCCAGTGTTAATCTCCTTTATAGCACTTGAGCAAGGATCAATTATTAAGTCCTGTCAAATCCGAACGTATCTGAATATATACCGAGCAATATCGAGTGCTCAATACCGAATTTTAGGTGACGTGGCATGTGATTATTGGTCTATGAACACATTCGATGACCAGACGTAACAATTGCTCCCTGAGCAAGACCCTCAAATGAATAGCTCCAAAAGAGGAAGGTGTAGCAATTCAAATTTAGAATTTTTTAATTGGTCACTATTACTTTTATTATAATGTGTGTAAAGAATAAGTAATGAGTAGTTGATCTTTTGGTTGAAGATTGATTGTCTTCTACATGATGGTGGATCAACCTGCTTTCTTTTAAATACTATGATTGAGTGTTATTCTTTACTGATTCACACGATATAACGATACAACAATTGAGAGTTATAAGGAGTTATTAATATACCGACGAACAAAGAGCGACGACTCTATTTCTGAGCCAACGATTATTGAATATTAATTACTGACTACTAAAAAATAACATAATAGCCAAAACTTCTTGTTTAAGTGTGACCACCGAAATGTATGTTATAGATTCATTATTACTAAACGGCTTTACTGATACTGTACTAATTTACTATCATTGTCCATATTTACTATTAATGTATTACTTTAATGATACTACCACCAATTTTACTAACGACACTGTACTAATATTGTTATCAACATAAACATCGATACTGTTTGATACTACTATTGATTCACTGTTACTGCCACCAATTTTACTAACAACGTTGTACTGATATTGTTATCGATATAGACATCGATATTGTTTGATACTAGTACTGATTCATTGTTATTGTTATTGATTCACTGTATTAATACTAAGCATGCGATATATTAAGTACGTGATATATTGAGCATTATACGATTAAGATACTAATTTAATTTTGATATATAATAACTAAATAACATATCTACATTATTATAGGGTCATATTATATTGATATGATTCTGAAAGTATTTATTGATGCGTTGATTTTATTGCTTTATAGGATTTCTTTAAAAATTAATATTATTGATACGACGACTGCTTTATTGATTCATCACTCATATTAGTTTACTAGTTTTCCCATTATAGTATTTTATTGGCTTTCATACCTAACTATTTTATTGTTTGCATATTATACTGCTACAATATATGAGTTTTGCTATTTCTACACTAATTCTTGATTATTCGACATGTGAGTTTTGCTATATATATTTCTTCTTTACCATATTTTAAATTCAATTTTGGGATTTTAGTAGCTTGTTGGGTCTTTTAGCTCATTATATGTGATTTAAATAATTTCAGGTTATAGAAGAGATTCAAAAGTGTGAGACTAATCAAGATTCCTCATGTTTTATTTCTATTTGTTTTAGCTATTCTCTTTTTACTTAGGAATGGAAGAATATGTTGTGATTATATGATTTATGAGTATTGGATATGATTTATTTTTGGGTCAATGAATATATATGTGTATTGATGTTCTGAATTATAAAATTTGTTTTAATTGCTTATTACTTATAAATGAAATTAAATGGCTCTGATTATTATATAATAAAAGATAAAAGAAAGAATTTTTTTTCAAGCTAGACTTTGGGTGTTACAGAGAGAGTGTCCTTATGCTTGACATGACACATGCGAATGAGTACCTCCATAGATTGGCATTCATGGGTGTATAGGAGTAACCAAGCAGAGTTTAAGATGTACATCCTTTATAATCAAAGACAAACACTAATGAAATCATTTTAATTGGGCAAGACCCAGTTGTTTTTCCCCTTTTTGAAAATTTCATGCTAAAATTATGATGTCTCTTATGACTCTTGCACATCTCTTTTTTTATTTTTGTATGTACTAGATCTTTGTACGAGCCATGAAGCTAAATTTTACATCTCTACTGTCGCAAATATCTCGGCACACAACATTTCTAAATTATTTAACTTATAATTGGGTTTGATTATATTATGAATTATATCATGAATTATTAAATAAAATTACTTAGATTTTATTTGAATTTTTTTTGACCTTTTTATGATAATAAAAATAATATAAATTTGAAAAATAAAAATTTTAATGTTATTTTAATTTTCAATTATTAAAAATATTTTTTAATTATGGCGGAGAAAAAAATTTTAAAAGTAAAAATAGAAAAACTTAAATTACCTCAAATAAAATTTTAATCATAAAGTTTGGAAAAGATTAACGCTAAATTTTTTTTGGGACATTTAGATCATTTAAGACAAACTCACACATCCAACGCATACATAAAAACTCGAACCCTAGACCTCTTAGTTGGAAGCTTAAGCTCTCAACCAACAGATCAAGATAAGTTGTGTATTAACACTAAATTTATTATCAAAGTTTTTTATAAAAAATATTTTTTTTCTGATCTGGAAAAAAAGTTAAGCGCCGCGGCATTGGAAAGCTAACATTTGAACTGCGTTTGAATTTTTTTTTTTTCTAACCACTTTAATTTTTTTTAATGTTTTTTTAAATGAGAGTTTATTTGGGATTGCTGAATTTTTTATAAAATTTTTGGGGGAAAATATCTATATTTTTTACAGCTGTCATAAAAAATGACTTGTTATTAGGAAATTCCAAGCCCTATATGAAATATATATAATTATGTTAGATATTTAATCATCATAAAATTTATCGAATAATTATAAAAGCTGATCATTAAAGGAGAATCATAAAATTAAGTATTGTAGAAATGATGATGCTCACAGGAATGAGTGGTTTTACTCTCAGAGGCAAAATTCGAAACAAATATATAAGAAAATATTGGATTAGCTCATGTTGAAAATAAGATTACAGGGAGCTATTTTAAATGAAACAAAAAAATAAAAATAAAAAAACTGCGAGGCTAGATGTATTAGATTTGGCATATAATAAGAAAGATATAGCTAGATCTTAAAAAGATTTGATTAAAAAGTTTTTAAAATGATATTTTTTATTAGATTTAAATAAAAATTTGACTCTT